GTTTGTTTGTTTGTTTGTTTGTTTGTTTAACAACTAAATTAGAAAAACGGCAATTGCAAAAAAATAAAGCACACTTTCCAAATTATTTTAATGGTTAAAGCAATGATGAACTTTATATATTATTATTTTGGGCCATCTGGCAGAACTGAAAATCATGGCCTGAACTACTGGAGTATTTTCTCTTCTCACCATGGATGTTTGTTTTATTTCGAGGAGTCGACGCGTCTCATTGAGAACTAACTTGATTTTTAAAATTATGCAGAATAGAGTTCGAGCACAGCCATTGCCAATATCTTTACGAATGGTTTTCATTTTTAAGCCGTCTTCTTTCAGCCACTTTAAACTCTTCTTCTTTGGCAAATTTCCTCATTTGCTACATATTAAAACAGCAACCATATATTTAATTTTTAATTAAAATAGCTGAAGCAAAAAAATCAAACACTGGATTTTTAGTTAGTTCGATAGAACATTAAAAACGCGACAAAACACCATTGTCGTCTTTTTGCGATTTTATTTTGAAAGAGAAAAACTAAAAACGACCTGAACACGGATTCTGTGGCTTCAAATTTAAAAAGAAGTTGAATATATTAAAATTTTGTGTCAAAGCCTTGTTGTTTAGTTCAGTGGAGCGTTCACTAAAAAAATAAAATAAAAAGAGCTAAAGCACAAATCAAAGAAGAGTTAAAACCAGGTCAAACTTCTCCTGCGTCACTGAGTCWTCTGCAGATAAATCCTGTGTTGATGACTCACCGTCATTTATACAGTTCAGTCTTCAACACTGAGTTTACTTTAGGTTAAACTTGAGTAAAACGACTTGATTACTTGCATCACATTCTAGCTGAAAGCTGGCTATAATCAGCYGAACTTTCTGAATCTAATTTGTGTCGGAACTCTTAATTCCTTAAAATGTGTTTTACTCATTTCCTCTTGTTTTTCCCCTCTTTTCTTGATTACTCACTCAAATCTCCTCTCTCTGTATATTACATCAAACACTGACATTCTTCATAATTAGGATTCAGGAGCTGAGCTCGGAGGGTTTTTTTTTCGTTCCCTTCAACAGAGTGAAATGTAAAATGTCAGTTTGTCTGCGTTCGTCTTGTAGAGATTTCAGGCTGTAGAATAAAATCGAAGACGCACCGACACAACGTTTCCTTCAGGTTCGCCCTCAGTTGGTCCGAGCGGGGGAAGACCTCGGCAGGGTTTGGGATTCAGTGACGAAACAACGAACAGGAACTTTTCCCGTCTGCGTTCAGAGTTAATCAGAAGCTATTTTTTGACAGAGAGACTATATGTGTTCGAACTTTGTGTCCCGCAGAAAC